GATACGAGCTGAATCGCGGACTTGTGAATGACTAGAGCGATGTTAGCGCGGTCTCCGTCCCGGTCAGAAATTGAAACTTACACCGATGCATTACGTCCATGTTCTCGTTGATCATCGCCTTGAGCGTAGCATTCGTGGAGGCCAGGTTAGTGCCCGATTCCTTGAGGGCCTTATTCATGAAGCCAGACACATTGTCATAGCTGCCGTCATGATAATTCGTCAAATACTTCACAACTCGTTGTATGGTGGTTGTACCGACTTGGAACCCCAGCACCTGGGCTCGTAATCCTACGAATTCTTGGCCAACGCATTCCAGGATCATCTCAACGGAGTAATTGTTGGTATGGTGATTGTCAGCGGCGAGCTGAGGAGGCTTGTTGAGAATGAAATCTTGGATGGTGTTGTGAACGATAGGTGTAGCTTCTCCGTTGATCAGCTTGCAGGTACGAAGTATAGCCGTGTGCGTGCTGCGCATGATCAGGGTAACGCCGTGGAATCGTGGCGCATCTCGCCCCGATTGGACGCGTACGAGGCGGTGAGTGATTTCTCTAGGGAGATGCTTATATCTATGACATAACGTTATGGGCGGGTTCTTCAATGAGGATTACAGAATCGCGGCTTGTAAAGCCATTCGATAAGCGCTTTGCTTTTCAAAAGCTGGACAAGCAGCTTTTCGCTTGCATTATTGAAGCCTTTCTAGAGCCGAAATGCTCTATGTGTATCGACGAAACTTACATAATTAATCGGACATTTATCGGGAGGTTCAGGAAGCGGAACATGTTTGCTTGTGGTGGTGCGACCGTTGGTTGCTAGTTAGGTTAATTTGTCACAGTACGCAGCAAAAACAAGATGTTTTGTAGTCTTATCCGGGCGTAAAGTCTAGGTCAATGGACCGGACTTGAGCCAAGACCTAAGTACCCTCGATCGTGACTGGACTTGGGCGAGTGAAATGATCACGTGCATCAAGACTCGCGAGGAACTTCGGCGTTACCGCACTATCAAGTATGACGCCTCTTTATTGCTTCATGGTGATTACCACCGCTGCTCTATGCTGTCTCATGATCAAGCAGGTGACTCACCTACTCATGCGTATACACTTGCTACCTACATCAGGGGCCAAACGACCTTTTCCCCAATGTCCTTGAGTAGTCGTACTTTCCCCTCCTCCCCTTTCCAGTTACCTTTTCTTCATAATGATAGTCTTTTTGGTCGACAAGTATATCGTAGCAAGCAACAGAAATGCCCCCGTACTGCAACGACTATTGAGGCTGTGCACAGCTTGTACTGCAACACTACAAATGTGAGTCCAAATTGCCAATATTCCGGATATTCGTCGTGCGCTGCATCACTACACATGCGCACTCTCTGCGTGCCTGCCTTTTCGTGTCTTGTGGAATGGGATATGATTCGAGCGCTCGAGTCAAACGACACAACATAGAAAGGGGCAACGATTGCAACCGCAACGAGGGTCTATATGTGACTGAGCAACAAATCACGCATGGACACGAAACACATGAAGGGATGAGAGAGGGTTAAGAGATGCTTCCAGCCATATCAGACAGTATAAACATTAACTTTTGCCTATATACAGCCCCCATCATGACCTTCATAAAACTCATCAATGCTACAACGCTCTCCTCGTATAATTACCTCCCGACACAGGCGTAATACTGGTCGTAGTCCTGATATCCCTACTACTCATACCCAAACTGAGCGTAAATTCGCCGCTTGGGATGAGCCACTCTTGCGAGATGACGTCCCAGTAGCTCAGATCTCTCCTCATCAGCTCAAACGTAACGCTTTGGGTCTGATTCGCAGCTAGGTAGACTTTGTCGAACCCACGAAGCTGCTTCGGTGGGGTACCGGCAGGTGCGGTATCGGGGAACGTGACATAGAGCTGAGGGACTGCGGCACCGTACACACCACCGGTATTAGAGACCGAGACAGTGACAGTGTATATCGTAGCCCAGAGCATTGGGTTGCCACCTGGCTGGATGGGCTGGCTGCCGGGAACAGATGTAATGTCGGCCTCAATTGGGCTTGCTTGCAGGTCCGAAACGTTGAAAGTGGTGTAGCTTAACCCATAGCCGAATTCATAACGCACGTCAATGTTGTTTGTGTCGAAGTACCTGTAGTCAACCTCGAGCTCCTCGTCGAACCAGCTCTGCCAGTCGTCTTTACCAGTGGTGTTGATAGCGGTGGTGGGAGGTGCATTGTAGTCACTACCGTTGAAAGCGATAGTGTACGGCAGGTGACCAGATGGGTTGACGTCGCCGTAGAGAACATCAACAATCGAATTGCCGGATGCCTGGCCAGGGTAGTGTGCAGCGACGATAGCAGTGACGTTCGGATGATCAGCGAATGGGAGGGTATTGATGCCTGAGGAATGTGTAACAACGATAGTATTATTGCAGTACTTGGCGACGGAATCAACAACTGCGTTACCCTCCCAGTCGGTGGAGAGATGCTGGCGATCGGCGGCTTCCTCGGCCCAAGTCTTTAGGAAGACCAGGCAGACATCGGGAAGTGCGGGAATCCAGAGATCGGTAACGTTGCTGGTGGCAATCAGGGTGTTGTTAAGCCACTGCTGGACTAAAGCACCGTCCTGAGCAGCACGCGTCTTGATAGCGGAGAGCGGGTCGACGAGATAGGTGAAACGACCAGTACCCGAGCCACCACCAGCGGCTAGAGTGCCAAACTCGAAGTCGACTTGATTATAAAAACCTTGGGTATCTTGACCGGCATCGTTGCCGAAAACAGCGATGGACTTAGGGGCCTTGAGAGGAAGGGCACCATTCTCGTTCTTAAGTAGTACTGTTCCAGCGGCACCGTGTCTGCGGATGGCCTCACCGTGGTCATCGCGAACATCACGGCTTCGAGTACCAGTGAATGTGAAGTTTCGCAACCATGTGCTCCTCGGAGAGAAGGTGTTGAGATCAGCAGAGGACTCGTCGACGGACGGATAGTTAGCGTCCTGACCAAGCCAATAGTACGGAGTCATGATGCGGGTGATCATGTCATCAACGCGAGACTCTGGGACAGAGCCGTTGCTGACGGCACGAGTAAGGTTGCCGCCGAATAGTGATCCGAGCTGGGGGAAGAGACCATATACACCAATTCCTCCAGGCATGTTCATGTCTAGGCCATTCTCAATTGAAGCGACTCCAGTGTGCACAGCGCCCCAATCAGACATAACATAGCCTTGAAAGCCAAGCTCAGTCTTCAGTAGGCCATTCTGGACAGCCGAGTTCTCGCATGCGTAGGAGCCGTTCAGACGCTGGTAAGAGCACATGACGCTGGAAACTTTGGCGTGGACCGCGTTTGCGAATGGCCAAAGGTAGATCTCATGCATGGTCCTATCGTCGATATTGGCAGAGACAGCCTCGAAAGTGACGTAATCGATCGCAATTGAGGCATTATAGGTTGGGTTGCGTTGAGTCTCTTGCTCATTGCCAATGAAATGCTTGGCGGTAGCCTGAACCCCGGCGTCCTGAACACCAGTGATCGTCTCCTCCATTGCGACACCGGTGAGGTATGGGTCAGCGGCGAATCCCTCCCAGTTGCGTCCAGAGTAAGCAGAGCGCCCAAGGGGTCCTGATACAGGCATCAAAGCTACTTCTGCACCCTTCCCTCTAAATTCGAGTCCCATAAGGTGGCCACGCTCGTAAAGAATGGTGCGGTCCCAAGTCGCTGCGGCCGAGACACCCGCAGAGAAGACAGAGGCGTAGTCTGCAACACGAATGGCAAGAGGTCCATCCTGAAGACAAAGACCACTGAAATTCAAGCGAGGAATGGCAACGATGTTTCTGTTCAACTGTTATTATTGTGCAACTCCAGGCTCTGTTCGCCTGTCATACCCAACACAGGGACCTGGCTGACCCGTAACCATATCAGCCTTTTCTTCGAGAGTGAGCTGGGCAACGAAGGCCTGAGCCCGTGCATGTGCTGCTTCCCAGCCGCCATTTCCGGTTGCGTTTGCTAGAAGCAATATCAGATGAGTAGATCATAGCAGACAGTCTTGTGTGACTTACGTGACGGCAGAACAGCGGGGGAATGGCCGTAGGCTCCTAGAATAGTCGTATTCAGCGGCTGAACATAGCTGAAAGTATCCTCCGATGACTGGGCGCGAACGCTAGCAGCAATCAGCGTGCAAGATGCCAAGAAGGAAAGTACTGAAGTCATTGCGGTGGTTGTTTGGCGTTCCCGTGAAGGGCATTGATGCAGACTATCGGGGCCACTTTAAATACAGTTTCTGGACCACGAGATCGGCCGTAGAATAAGGCTACGAGGTCTGATGAGGTCGGAGGCTGCTTGTGTACCGATGTTTGGCCGTTGGAATAACATACCAGCCAGAATGCAGCCAGAATGCACATGGATGACGCGGGAGCTACTATATGTTGCCAAGCTACCAGTTCCGGAAGCTAGGTTCTCGATTTTCACGAAAGAAGCAGGCGGCAGGGTACCGTAGAACAATAGGCATTGTGAGCGGGTAAAGTCAGACAGACTTTGATGGGCAGTCAGAACTGATACTGCGGAATCATCACCCTGATTGATCACAGCTTCGAAGAGACAGTAACGCGTCGTCGCTCTCGTTGAATCTCTTTCTAACGGATAAGGGGGTCGTGAAGCCTGCAGGAAAACTACGCGGATTTGTCGAAGCGGGGCGACGATGGCCCAACAAAAACTTTTCACGAATCGTGGCAGCGGGGTTCGAGCCGTTGGCATGACCACGCAGGGTCGAATGTCACAGGCTCGCAGAGTCGGCAGATGCAGATGATGCCTCGTCTCGGGCCCGTCGCGTGCTACGGAGCAGTCTCCACGTTTTTTGGACCATGGGGTATTGATCTGGGTGTTTGCCCCACTCGAATTTCCCCGCCTCCCGGCTCCATCTTACTGTTAACCGTTAGCGTCCGATCTACTACGGCAGCCTATTAGCGGGTGGAGGGACAAAACTCAATTGGACTATAAAATTTTTACTCTAAGATATTTTATATATTAATAGCCTAGTAGCTTAGTAGTAGAGTATATATTTATTATAAAATTATTACTTATTAGTTTCTGTATAGAATACTTATAGATAAAGCTTTATATATATAAAGTTCTAAGTTTAACCCCTAGCTAGGTTAAAATCTTTTTATAATTAAATTTTAATTATTTAAATACTATTATATAATCTAGTAACTTAGTTAATAGAGTATATATCTATAATAAAAGTACCTATAATTGTCTAGCTTCTTAGCTAACTACTTAAAGTAGTAATAAAAAATAGGCGCTTTTATATATATAAAGTTCTAAGTTTAACCCTTAGCTAAGTTAAACTCTTTTATATAACTTAGTAGCTTAGTTAGTAAAGTATCTACTTCTTACTTAAAGTAGCTAACGTTTATTTATAAGGCTTAATTACTTAAAGAATACTTAGCTATATAAGTATATAAAAAGTCTTAAGTTTAATTCTTAGCTAAGTTAATTTTTTTATTCTTTTTAGGTATCTACCTATCTATTTATTATATAAAGGTAGTAATATTATTAAAAAGTTATCTTATTACTTTTTTATTATTAAAAAGTTATTATATATACTTAATTAGTAGAAAATAATTAGTAAGAAAAATTTTCTCTACTTTATATTATATAAACTATCTTATCCTCTACTACCTACTTACTTATTATTAACTTTCTATATATTAAAAATACCTAGTATAGTTTATTTCTACTTTATATAATAGTTTACTAATATTACTTTACTAAGTAGATATTCTTAAATTAACCTAAACTTATATTAGCTAGATATAATTAGTATTTAGTAAAAAAGCCTTATATTTAAGTAGATTATAATATACTTTACTAAGATATATTATATTAATATTACCTTTTATATAATTAAGTAGTAATTTTAAAAGTAAAAAATAACTTAATAGCTTCCTACTAAAGTAGAAGAGTAGGTTAAGAGATAAATTTAAGTACTATTCTTTAAAGTTAACTTTAAGGATATAGATATTTTTTATACTCTAAAGTATAAAGAGTATAAGATTAAAAAATATATTCTTATATAACTATAATTTAAGCTAAGACTTTAGAGATAAATACGTAGTATTAAATAAAACTAAGAAGCTAATAAGCTTATATAATAGCTTATTATAATAGAGCTTAAAAAAGAAGTAATAAATAAGTATAAGTAAAGGTATCTCTATACTTATTTTTAATAATATAGTTATATTATTACGTAAAATTACTTTTTCTAAGTTTATTATATAATTAACCCTAAAGTAGTTAAACGCTATAGGTAAGACCTATAATAATACTATAGTAAGTATATTATTCTTAGACTAAACTTTATCTAGTTAATAGATAGCTATAATAAGTTAAAGCTATATAGAATATAGATTTATATATATATTAATATATACTTATAGTATATTATTTAGATATACGCTAGAATATTAGCTTATATAGCTATTAGCTATCTTTATTAGTTTCTTAAAATACTTAAAAATATATAAGTTTAGCTACGCTTCGTATAATTAGATTATAGGGGTAAAACTATAATATTAGTAAATATATATTATTAACTTTAAAAGATAGCTAAGCTAGGGCTACGCTTTAATAACTACTATCTATATAGTACTAGTATAGTAAACTAGAAAATTAAAGTATAATAGTAGTAGCTATTTAAAAGTCTCTTATACTACTAGTAAGTAAGTTATTATATAAACCTTTTTTTTTTTAATACTTATAAAGATAGAACTTCTTCCGTAGCCTATAGATATAAAATATCTTTTTTAAAGATAGCCTTATAAACTAGATTACTTTATACGCTATATATATTCTAGTTCTTTAAGAAAAATTATTTAGCTTTATATAAGTTTAGAACTCTTATTTAATTAAATAATAAAAGAATTAACTAAACGTAGTAGTAGGAAAGCCTTTTATACTATTTTACTACTTTATACTATATATTTAGAACTAAGGCCTTTCTTTTAACCTAGAGTAACTTTATATAATTAAAAAAAGTATAAAAGATTAAAAAATTAATATATTTCTTTTAAAGTAAATTTAAGAGTAGTATAATAGTATATTTTAATTTTTTAGGTTTAACTTTAACGCGGCTACTTTAATATCTAGTTAAGATTATATAGTACTATTTCTTACTATTTATACTTAACTTTAAGATATTATATAATTATATATTAAAAATTATTTAAATTTTTTTTTTTCTTTTCTAGAAATACTAACTAAAGTATAGAATTAGTAAAATTAGAATACTATATAAAGTATAGATTTAAAGATAGACTAAGTAGATAATTAAATAAATCTAAATTTAGTTTAGTATCTTGCTTTTATATAATTACTTATCTTATACTATTTTAACTTAATTATATCCTTTTTTTTATTTTCTTTTTTATTCTTTTTTTTATCCTCTCTTTTATCTTTATATAATATAATAAATAATACTTTTTTTAAGTATTACTTTAAAATAGGAGATTTATATTCTAAATACTTAGATATATTTACTTTTTATTTTAAATACTATATATAAATTAGCCTATAGACTCCTATATAAAAAGATATTAAGTATATTAATCTTAGTAAAATACTTATATTACTATCTTCTAAAAAGGCTATATTTATCTTAGTAGTATAGATATAAAGTTATTAAGTTACTTTACTACTAAGCTCTTTTTATACTAAAGCCTATTTTTATATAGTAGCTAAAGTTTCTTAATAATAGTTAATATAAAAGATAGCTTAGTCTTCTTTAGCTTATATAAAAAAAATTATAAGTAGATATACTACTTACCTTTAAATTAACCTTATTTAGTATAAGCTATACTCTAAAAATAGCTAAGAGTAAAAGAGATTTTTTAACTATAATATCCTTTATACGTATATTAACCTATATATAATTACTTATTTAACTATTATATAGATAAAAGTTAACTTTAACTTTAAAACTCTAAAATTAAAAATCTTAATAACTTTATCTTAGTATACTTTATTACTAAGCTTATATAAATTAAACTTTCTTTAATTACTACTCTCTAAAAATACTTTACTATAGATATTAGTAAAGATAGTATTATATATTTTTTATAAAGTATATTAAATTATTATATAATTAAAGAACTTATTAAATATAACTTTTTTAAGAAAAACCTATAAAGTAGTTTTATAATATACCTAGTATATAAAAAGGTTAAGTAAGAAGCTTTATATAATAAATTAAAAGAAGTAAAACTTTTAAAAGATAAGAAAAAAAGTAAAGTATAAGTTAAGAAGAAGAAAAAGAGTAGTAAAAGTAAAGCTAGTAAAATTAAAGCTAAGCTAATATCTATTAAAAAAGAGAGAAAGTTATATAAGTATAAATATAATATTTTTTAGCTATTAGAAATTTAAATATTACTATTACTAGAAGAGGAAACTATTAAGAGTGTATATAGCCTTTATAGCTAGTTAAAAAAGTAGATTTTTTAATAAAATATTTTTTTTTTTTATAATTTTTTAATTTTTTTTACTTTTTATCTTTTATACAATAACTATATAATTTAAAAAAAAATTTATAAAATAAATAAAAAGAAAATTTTACTTTTTTTATTTTTATCTACTCTTTTACTTATACTTTTCTATTTACTTTACTTCTTTAACTTTCTCTTTACTAATCTACTACTACTACTTTTTTAGCTACTTTATATAAGCTCTACTATAGCTATATTTACCTCTATAATTATACTACTTATAGTTTATATAGACGCTACCCTAGAAGCCTTATAGGCTTATATAAGTTATAAATAATTATATACTAGCTATACTTAAGTAATTATTATAAGCCTTTTCTAGTTAGTATTATATAAAGCTTTTTTAAAAATTACTTACTATAGTATTTTTAATACCGCGGCTTTAGATTAGAACTATATTAATATATAATAGCTAGCTAAATTAAATTTATATAGCCTTTACTTAGCTAGTCTAAGCCTTAATATTAATAGCTACTAAAGTATAAGCTACTTATTATTTAGCCTATAATATATTAGTATATACTATTATATAAAGGGAAAGGATTTTATAGTATAGTAGATACGCCTAAGCTTAGTATCTATAGCTACTTTAGATATATACTAAGTAGTTATTATATAAGATAATCTATAAACTAGATTTAACTATAAAAAAAGTAAAAGTTAATTATTAGTAATAGGGGAATTTAAACTTACTACTTAATTATTATTATTATTACTTACTATCTTATACTAATTAACTAAGCTTCTTCTTTTAGATACCTTGTACAACAACTATAATACTATTAATAGAGTTTTGTCCCTCTACCCGCTAATAGGCTGCCGTAATCTACGCCATCCGTCATCGGTCCGTACGCCCAGTATGGGGTCATGTCCGCCCGAACATTAGCCGTCAGAGAGCCATTCCTTGCAAACGAGACCCATCGTGCGTGCAGGTGCGCTTGTTGGGACCTGAGAAGGTTGATTTCCTCGGCGAAATGGTCGGGAGTTGTGGATAAAACTCTCCGCTTCGTTCCTGAAGAGCTGGGATGCTGAATGCACTCCCGTCAGTCAAACAGTATTTTGGTACTGGGGACGCTCGCTTCCGCTCGGTGGCATACATTCTAGCCATCACTCCAGAGTTGTCGGATAATACTCAGGCCCTGTCCTCGAGGATGAACTGATCCGAACGATAACATCCTGAAAGAGCGAACCACCTTACAACCATGATGGAGCAGCCACTTCACTTGAAGAGAATCGAATGCGCCTCGTGGAATCATGCAAACAGCTTGTGTAAGGGTTCTGCTAGGTTGTACCTGCCGAGGCAGAACACAACTTCTTTGTTCGGCTCAGTATTGACCGAGTTGCCGACGCTAACGTATCGTCTGTGGCAAAGGACGCCATCAAAAAGACAGCAAAGCTTAGCGCATTTGTATTGAATGCTAGAGAAGTTCTCATTGAAACTATGGCCCCAACAACAGCAATCATTGCACTACCTCGATTATCTCGAGCAGCTCTCTTCCAACCCGTACATTTGGCGAAGACTCCTTGTCGCTGTTGGACGCTCAGTCTTTCTTCGCCACGAATACCCAAACCCGCACGCACCATTTGTGACCAGTTTCAAGCTGAAGGAGCTCTTTGACTCTCTATTTCCAATGCCCAATGACAACTATGGAAGGGAACTCATCGAGCTGAAGCCGCTCGCATTCGACCGCATAAGCGAAGGCAGGTTATCCTCGTCTGGTTTCCTCCTGTCTCGCCTTCCAATGGAGCTTGTAGTACCATCGTCCAGATGATTCCAAGAGCAGATCTGTCGAACCTGGCATTAGTGAACCTTGAATTGCAGCAACTAGCCCGGTCTCGCCAATTTTCTATCATCAAGCTCGACTTGAGCGATCGTGCCATCGCCCTGGTAGAGGCGTTGTCTGAGGAAGCAACAGAGCGCTTAAAGAACGGTGGCACGACGGAAAAAACATCCAT